TTTTCCTCACTGCCTACCACCACCCTCCCTCACTCCCCCTTCCCTTTATTTAATATTTGATGTAGTAATGTAACTTTATGTAGTTATATTGAATAAACTGTGTCTTTCTCTTACATAAATCTACTAAGTATATGTACACTGTTACTTGGATATATCTATCAAGTATATATATCCTGTTATTTGGATATATCTGTGGTTTTTACTGTGGATATATGTATCTTTGCAAATATATAAATCAAGAGGATGTGTAAAGTGTATATGTACTGTTACTTGGATATATAACTTCAGATATATCTTCCAAGTATATACTGTGGTTTGGATATATTCTGTGATTATATGCAAGGATGATAATTTCACACAGTTCATGGGAAGTGGAAATTCACTGTGGATATATTTTTGCAAATATATATATCAAGAAGATGTGTGAAGAAAATACATATCACAATATATTGGCAGTAATTTTATACAGTACCAATGACAACTGGGCTTGTGCACATTTGCGGAGACCATTTGAGAAGGAGTTGAGAGAAAATAGCAAAAAATCAGAAATCAGAACATGAGAAATTGGGTGCAGCATGCACCTGATTCTGGCCATTTCCATTAGAGGTATGACAATACATGAGTTCTACATAGTATATAATATAAGGAAGTGGGTGACAAAAAAGATGACAGTAATACTATGTAGATAGAGTAAACTGTTATTGTGAGAGCCCTTCTGATGGTGAGTAAAGACTTACCTGGCTGAGGGAGCGAGCTGTTGAGACAAGAGCCTTATAAGGTAGCAGACAGCCATACCTCGCTAATGTCACGTGATCCATCCCAAAACGGTCATTTTTGACAGAAACACTTCTCAAATATTTACCATGCAGGATTTAGCAAATTGAGCCAGAACATTTTGTAGAGAATGCTATCAAATGAGCAACTACCAATTTTCTTGGTGGAAAATTAAGATCTCAAGGAGGAGTTTTGAAATTGGTGTTGCATATGGTAGCACATTACGTGAATCAAAGCACACTCTGTGAAATCCGTATAATTGAAACTCCTCCTTCAGATTTTCAAATCAAGTTCTGAAAACTTGCAAAAGCACCCTGAATACCAATTCAATTAAAATGTTCAGCTCGATTTTGCAGCAGTACACATTGCTCTTCCATTATCATCTACTTTGTAGAAAGTTGCCCAATTAGGACAGCTCATGTGATGTTAGTGAGGTATGGCTGTCTGCTACCTTAGAAAGGAGAGACAAGAGCCTTATAGAAAGGAGAACTCTCATCTCACTTGTGAGTTATCAGCTATAAGGGAATCTAAAAATAGATGCATGAGCTGTAGCAGGTGTTCCATGAGTAATAAGATCTAATATGAGGAGTCACCAACTCTGTGTATCCCAGCAGTCTCTTGTCGTCAAGATCAGATAACAATGTCAAAGGTGTGAGGATCCTCTCCTGTGAAGGAGATGGTCTATGATCACACTCAAGTGAGGATTGATGTTACAACGGAAATCCGATGCTACAATCCTAGCAACTCTCCAGGAAATCCATGGAAAGTCAAGTGACAGACATATGGATTGGGGATGAGATTGCAATCTGATGAGCTAACACATAGGATGATGATACTATTGTACATGTGTGTGGTTCACTCAAGTGGCATGTGACTGTGAGGAAAGCACTCATGTTCTGTTAGCGGAAAGTAAGTAAATGAATATGTACCAAAGATAAGGGAGTTGAATCCCTTGTCATATGAGCAATCAAAGTCACACCAAAGCAAATGAATTAGTGTTGTTGCGAGCTTTACAGTGTGACCATAAAACTTCCATCCAAGTGTGGATCACATGGATTGAGCAGTGGCTCTTGGGTGAGCAAACCAATATATAATAGTCCTCCAACTTGAATGATTTTGATTTAGAATGTTCATTGCCCAAGTCAAAACCCTCCAACTTGAACAGTTCTGATCTAGAATGTTCATTGCTCAAGCCATAGTCCTCCAACTTGAATGGTTTTGATCCACAATGTTCAAGTGCCATGAGAAAGAACTGGACAGTCAGACTGTTGGAGCCTTCATGTAAGCCATGATAGTGGTCTATATCCTACAAACAGTCAAGGAAACAATATATGTCCCACATTACAGAAAATCACAAGTTTTTTTTTAGAAACTGGGACCCCAGACACCCCTAGTGGCTGAAGAAATATATCCTTGGTCAACCCCAGCTGCAAAATATATCCTAAGTCCATCCCAGACCAGAAATATATTTCTACAGTGTGACAGTCACAATTCAGGGTCCAGGCATAAGAAATATATTTGGTGTCCATCTCAGTGAAGAAATATATTTTGGGGTGTGTGACACACTAGAAATATATTTGGTGTGACATTGGATGTCAAAATATATTCATGTAAAAGTGGAGATATACAAGCCCCAGGATATATACAATATAGATATACACCCTGACATTTAGTCCTGTAGTATTCATGGAGTTTGCAAGACTAATAGTCAGTTGTTAGTGGGTGACTGAAGTGCCATCGTCTTGGGTTTAAATTATACCTACAGTCATGCTCAAACTGCAGCACCAAACACGAGAGGCTACGCTTATGCCGTTCTTGCGCTGGGTGGAATTTTAGTTGGAGGGGGGAGGAGGAGATGTTGCATGGTATGTCCTTTAATTCCTTACCAATCCCCATCATCTTGGGTTTTAATTAAACCTACAGGCATACTCACACTGCAGCACTAAAGACAAGAGGCCGCGCTCATGCCGTTCTTTCTCTGGGTGTGATTTTAGTTGGAGGGGAGGAGGAGGACAGGCTGCAATGTAAGTCCCTTAATTCTTGACCAATCCTTGTCATCTTGGGCTTAAATAAGAGCCATAGATGTACTTGAGCTGCAGCACCAAACACGAGAGGCTATGCTCATGCTGTTCTCTCACTGGGTGGAATTTTAATTGGAGGGGGGAGGAGGACATGTTGCATGATGGTATTTCCTTTAATTCCTGACCAATCCCCATCGTCTTGGGTTTAAATTAAATCTACAGGCATACTAAAACTGCAGCACCAAAGACAAGAGGCCGTGATCATGGTGTTCTTTCGCTGGGTGAGATTTGGGGGGGGGGAGGGACATTGTTATGATACCATTACTTACCTACTCACCAGTTCCCTCTTCATCTGACACTTACCCTATCCACCCCAATTTACCTATTTTCTTTCAACTATGCATGCTCTGTTTTTGTACTACTATCAAACTACTATTTGATGTCAGTGTATACTCAGTTTTGAGATTCCACCTTGAACTTTAAATATAAAAGGCAGGTGCTAAGAATAACTCCCGCTGTTGCGCTTACATGGCATGATCACTCGAAAGACATATCTGGAAATACTGTGCCAGATCCTGGCAAATACCACTCCCTCGTCTTGGTGATTTCTTGACCACGGCAGATGCTGGACCGCCAATGGCAAGAATCACTAGAATAGCTACATTTTCGAAGTTCCGGCTCGACATTCCTAGGCGACATCTCACGAAATCTACAGTCAACGACGTGCCTTCAACACTTTTCTGGGACCTTGCTCAGCCTGGATCAAGCTCTCACCATGTCTGAACAGCTGGCCGGAAACTCAAGCAGCTATAATGCTGGCTAAAAGACACACCCCAAACGAGCAGGAGATCAATCGTACGGCACTTGAGAGTCAAGTGGCAAGCTACTTCTGAAGCTGGTGGTAACAGAAAGCTTCCCACCTGTCAACCATCCAAACCCTGCTCTGCTGGAGACCCTAGTTCTCCCAACGACCAACACGCTCAGCCCCCTGTCCCATTTCACAGTAATTCTCACCTGCCTCCGAATTCAAACTACTACCATCCAAAAACCCATTCGTACTGATCCATTTTGTTCATCTGTATCTAATTTCGCTTTGTACGACCCCAAATCATGGTGGATACCCGATAGCACACCTACCATGTACACTTGACACTTATCCTTGTTGTAGCCTCCAGAGCAGAAAATGTATCCTTTTTATTCATACTTCTGTTGATGTGTATTGATGAAAGAAAATGATATTCAAGTTCAACACTCAACTGGAACAGGGCAGTATGTAGCGAGAACACCATCATGTAGTGTGAACTGAACATGACCAGAGTTCTACCAATGGTGCGTCCTGCCCTTAACAATGGCGCTAATAAACAAAGGCGCTCGGAAAAGATTTATCTGACTCCCAGACCAGGTGGAAAGTGAATAACTGCCTATACTGACGCAACTGCTTGACAGTGTTTGACAGACACAACTAAACCAAACACGCTGAACAGCGACTCACAATGACTCCTAATGTTTGTACAAAGATCCAGAATGCCATGGAAGGTTCTGTGATCCATGATGAGTAAGCATGAGGCACAAGTGCAAACTCATCTTAGGATAAGATAACATCTGCATCAGAACCAGACATCTCACTCTTGTAGGTACTAATATATGTCTATGTTTCTGGGAGTGTGTCTCTGGTTCTGACACTAAGAAAAACCTTCTTGGTCATCTCATAAATTTTTTGACTCTTCTTCCCAATGACTGACGCTTCTACCAACTCATCTACTGCTCCTACTGGCACTCCGTCAACTGCTCCTACTGGTTCTGCAGATGTGCAGCTTCATGTTGCTCCTGATGGTGGGCAACCTCACATTCCTCATACCCATACTTCTCCTGCTATTATTCAGCTGTTAAAGAACCTCTCCCTCTCCAACATCCTCCAGCGTAACAAAAGAATTGAAGCTGAGAATGATGTCAGGGCCACCAACACATTGAACAATGCTCTAGACCCAGCTGCCCATCATCAACTGGGATCAGAAGTTGCCTCCTTGATCACAATCAATCCTGGGGATCTGGCCTGTTTAAGGGTTCCTTCTTTCTTTGTTTCTGTCCACGATTTTGTTTACACCAGCCTTGCAAGGCTCCTTGCTGATGAAGATTTGAAAGAGGAGGAAGAGAAAAAAAGGAAGGACAACAACACTCTTGCAGAGGATGCCAGGGTCTCTAAAAGACGTTGCATGGATGGCTCTAACCATGTTGAGAGAGTGGTTGGAGAACCTATTCCTATTGAATTCCCACAATCTTTGTATGATACTGAATGTGTTGTAGTTCCCCTCCCTTTATTTCTCACCTGGAATCTACGGTCCCTGGTTGATGAGGCATCAATCCTTCCCACTGTCAAATCCAACCCTGCACCCAGGGAAATGAAAGGAACTTATATTTTAAATATAGAGAAGCTGTCTACTTGTATCAGGAAAGAATTAACTCTCACTTGTAGCCAATGGTCTGAGGCTGCCGCCAATATGTGGAACTTCCGGATTTTGAGGGACAAGTCTGGTAGTGAAGGCGAACATGCCTCCTGGTTTGAAAAGCATTTTAATTTCTTTAATATGCTGAATAAAAGGGATGAACTATATGATGCCTGGAAGGTTATGGAACTTAATGGAAAACTAAGAGGGGAAAAACACTCAAGAGAACTTAGGGATACTCACAGAAGTTAACTGGGTGTATGATTCTGAGAGCATGAAAAGATAGCATAATGAGAGAAATTGAGGTGGTGGTGGTTCTGGAGAAAAGGAAGAAGAAGAAGTGAAGTGTAGAAAAAGCTACCTAAAAATTAAGGTGAACCAACTCACGACACTAACCAACAGTCGAGTGCCTCGCAGTCTTGAAGTTCCGACCCCAGAAGCCATTTGTCATGTTCTGCGCCATAGCCAGACCAACAAACAAGATACTGGTAACCATGGCCTCATCAATGTGTGTCCAATATTTTGTCAATCAAATATTCTTTGTGTCTGTTGTTGGCGATAATGGGTGGGGGTTCTTCAAGATGGCGCAAGGGGAAAAGAGACATATCAGATTCAGTGTACAGAAGGATTTCAGATGTGTGGAAAATAGGAAAGATGTTGGGGGAATTCGGAAGGTCGAGTGTGATGGTGGAATGGTCCTTGTTGATGTCGATAATTGTGTAAGGGCCATCATAGCAAGGCATAAACTTCATGATGTGTTTCTCACCCTTCGCCTTGTATTCATTGTGTTGATGCAATGTTGATAATCACACACGAGTATCTATTTTAAACATAAATTTCAGTTTATGGTGCTTGTTCAATTGAATTACTTGTGAAATCTTAGCCTTCAACAAATTGTCCTGTGCTTTGAGGATGTCTATTTCCAGCTTTCGAATTACCTGCCAAGCGTTGATGTCTGTGACAGTGGTGTTGGATTTTTCGAGTGTGAGGAATGATAAGGTGATCACCAATATACTTGGGTAAGAGGGCCATTGCAAACATGGCAGATACGAGTCCTTTTTATATTCAGGAAGCCACAATGCAGCACCACTTCAGTCACCCAGTGCCAACTGACTATTAGTCATGCAAACTCCACGTAAGTTACATGACTAAATGTCATGGACCATATCTATATTCTAGATATATATGGGTCCTAGAAAGCCCTGAAATCTAAAATATATTTTTGACACATGGACCCTGAAATGTCACACAAAAATTATAATGTCTGTGTCACACCACCAAAATATATTTTGCAAGTGAAATGCAGTAAGGATATATTTTCGGTGAGTGGACCCTGAAATGTCACTGTCACACCTTAGAAATATATTTTTACCCTGGCTTTGCCTTAGGATATATTTTGTGAAACAGATGTGGTAAGGATATATTTTTCTGGTCTGTAGTGGTGTCAGGGGTCCTAGTTTCAGCAAAAAACTTGTGATTTTTTCTGCTGTCTGGAGTATATATTCTGGAAGATTCTGCAATGACTTCCAGGGGTTTTGGCACTATGTCTAGCTGTGCTCCCAGTATGTATGTAGCAATAAGGGGCATCAATAGCATCTGTGATATACCTGAGTTGCTTAAGTATCATCCACTTCCAATCACACTATGAATACAGTTTGCATTACAGATTCATTCATTCTCCTTCAACAATTTTGGGCCTCAATGACATGTATGATTCACCTTGAAGCTATTCAGTCCAAGATTCCTGAGTTGCTTAAGTACTATCCACTTTGACACTATAGATACAGTTTGCACTATGGAATTTTTTAGCTGCTTAGAAATCCCCTCCACTTCTGCCTCTACTTCAGCTCCAAGATCTCCATTTGCACCTTATCTGCATACCCCACCCACATCTGTATTACTATCCCCTGCCAGACAAACTCCTGCATGTGATATCAAACATGTTGTCCAATCCACTTTCAAAAACCAGAGTTCACAAAGTTCTTTGTTTCACTCTCCAATTGCACCTTATCTGCATGCCCCACCTACATCTGTATTAGTCAAACCTCTGCATGTGATATCAAACATCTCTCCCAATCTACTTTCAAAAACCAGAGTTCACAAAGTTCTTTGCTCTTTCTCTTTTTCTCTCTCCAGTTGCACCTGATCTGCATACCTCACCCACATCTGTATTACCATCCCCTGCCAGTCAAACCCCTGCATGTGATATCAAACATCTCTCCCACCCCACTTTCACAGACAAGAGTTCACCAAGTTCTTTGTTGTTTCTCTCCTTCTCTTCCTCTCTCCCTGTTTTCCTCTTCTCCTCTCCCTGCCTTCCTCCCTCTTTCTCTTGACTCTTCATTGTAACTTTATTGACAACAAATTCCATTCTCCTCTAACAAATTCTGTTCACCAATGTCATAGTATGGAGTCACACATATCTTTCCACTAAATCCTGAACCAAGATCTATTTTAACCATATCATGAATCCAGATACATAATTTCTGAACTATATCATG